AAAGGAGGAATCCACAGTTTTTTGTTGAAAGACATGTTCATCACACTGTTGGAGTTATGGTTTGGGGTGCTATAGCACCACCAGGTCACCTTTAATCTCCATCAGAGGTAACATGAACGCGCAGCGTTATATCCACGAAGTTCTAGAACCCCATCTTTTACCCTATCTTGACACCCTGGCAGATCCAACTTTCCAACAAGATAATGCCCGACTACATGTTGCAAGAGTCACAATAGACTTCTTTCAACATAATGATGTCACATTGTTACCATGGCCACCAAAATCTCCCGACTTATCCCCAATTGAGCACGTGTAGGATATGATGGGTAGGAGATTGCTCAATTTGCAACGTCCTCCTCAGACTCTAGAAGCACTTCGAGAGGAGTTGGTGGTTGCCTGGAATGAGATACCACAGGAGGACATTGACCACCTGATCAGAAGCATGCCTAGGCGCGTTGGAGAATGCGTAGGACATCAGGGTGTATCCACACATTATTAAAGGTCAAAGGGCTTTAAAGCAGTGCAATCATTTTGAAATTTTTATCATTTACTTATTATGCTTCATTAAGTACTTATACAAAATTTTATTAAAATAAAACCATTTAAACTGGGTGTTCGGATTTATATGTCACTTAGTATCTAAGGCCTTCTTTCTTCCGTTTCTTTGTCGGCTAGAGATGGCGAGTGTACTCGAATTCAGATGATTCAGAATCGAATAATAACGATTGTGGGGCTCCTAGAACGACGCCTACAATGTTATTCGACAACTTCCACGTTTCGGTTAGAATTTGATGAGGATGAATCCATCGCAGAATGATAGTAAAATATCGCAGATAATGGTGGGTCTACTTACAGATTCGTCATAATAATCTGACACCGGATGAAACTGCATTAAACTTACTACATACTTGCTGTATCAAACTTATTACCTCCTTACGTTATTAAAAACCACTATATTGTTACTAGTCCTATTGAGAATTCTCCAACTTGTGGCACATCTATTCCAGCACAAAAATATAAAAATCAACATATTTCACAGTCACCCCTACGACATGAGTTTCAAATCAAAGGGATCGATGAGGGAAACATAATAAGCAAAGTGACATTGTAAGGATGATGGTCACGATTACCATGACACTTCTCAAAATCTTCCTATAAGGTGTCATAAAGGAATATTTCTTTTAATATACTGATTTTCCTAATTTTTAGTCCGGGAACTACAATCGGCACATTCACCATTTTTGCAAACTGGGCAAACTTTATCCGCCTATTTCTCAGAAACTAATCATAGGTTTGCTTTGGTGCTATGAATACTTTTGTTCGGGAAGTCAAGAAATATATCATACTGAATTTTTAGTCAAATCGACTAGAACCGATTTTCCATATGTTTTGTGCCAGGTCCTTTGTCACGAGTACAATACTTCCTTGTTAGTCGGCGTGGGAATTAAAAAAAATCTGCAAATGAAAATGAGAACACAAATAATTTAAAAGGCACCCGTATACATTTTTCGTGGAAAGTTTATATTGTATGCATTTTCGAATAACACGCTATAGGTACCCGTATTTATCAAAAATTACATACAATTATAGAAATTACATTCAACGTCGCATTTATTATTCAAAACATCCCATTATATCATGTATTAATAAAGCAATGGTATCTTCACAAGGCATGAATCCGGGATATGATCTATGATATATGCGCGTGTCCCCTTTTTTAACGAGATGAGCTGCAGTTATATTTAATTTCTCATCAAAGAGTAAGCTTTGCGGTATTATTAATTTTAAAAATTAGTTTCGATATATTAGTGACACAATAATATTATCGTGCAAAGTATATAGGCTCAGTACTTGGTTGCATGTCCATATTTGAGTTATGCTCAAATAAAAATTCTAAACGTTGTAATAATAAACTGAAACTATGAAGTTTTATAGCCATTGAAGGTATTCAAAATGGCCGACATTTTAAACTTTCGATCGGATTACATTGCTCCTACTCGATTCGATTCACGGTAAAACTCCTTTAACTTCTTTCTTGTCATAATATGTATTTAAAACTAGCCAATACGGCGTCTCCTTTGTTCTAAGATAGTCGTGAATGTGGAACAACCAGCTGTGCGAAATTCAAAACTCTTTACTGGAAGTTATCTGAAAGCTCAACTTTGTTTTGCTATCAGACGAGAGAAGATTAACTTCGTATATGTTGATCTGCATACATACAGTAAAGAAAGGTCCTCCTGAAATAGCTTGTAGCTAAATTTCACCTTAAATAAAAGTTGTTTATTATTATTATAACTGTTTTTTTTTTAACAGGTTAACGAGCTATTCGGGTTGATGAGATTGATACATTAATGCTATATTTTAACGTAAACATAACAGTTGAACATTTCAAGATGACAGCTTTGTAACATTTTTTTGAAGGGAATTGAGGGGTCATGTGGTATCTGATCTTGGAGCTCCTATTGAGTATTTAATAAGAAAATACAAGTACTAACCTTCAAGGTGGCAGGCTGACAGACTTTCAAAGTTGAGCGTTTTTGTTCATTGAAATTATGACATCAATCTTCGTCTATTGGGAGGGTTTATCTGAATGTGTTTAGCTCTTGTGTCATAGTATCGATTTGTAAGCTTGTCAGGTCTGGTAACCCAGAAACCAGACAATTTTGAGAAAAGAAAAAGGAGAAGGAAATTAGAGGAAGACTGGTATTGATGTTTTGATGATTGTCGCTTTATAAGTCAGTGCACAAAAACGCTCAAATTTGACAGCCTGTCATGTCAGATCTCCATTTTTAAAGACAGTGATTATATATTCTAGAGTTATAAAGGAGCTTCAAAATAAGGTATCACACGACCCCTCATTCAATTTAAAACATGTTCCAAGATATCCAAATTTTCAACCATCACCTTTACGCTAATATTCAATCAATTTCATTACCCGAATTTTATCTTACGAACTTGACCTTTACAAAAAATAAGTTCGGGGGGTATTCTTGAAAAACACTGTATATGACGATTGTAAAGATAGTTAACGAGCATTTTTAATGTGGTCACGGTAGAACCAATAAAATTAGAGCTATTACGATCACATTAACGGTAGCTCGACGATTCGTTGTTGCAGTTTTATGATTTTTTGAGTTTTAAATAGCACATGGCCTACTTAGAACACGTGAATGTTTTTAAGTATCAACAGAAATGCAACTAGAGTCATTATACAACAATATATACAGGGTTTGTCCGGAAAGTAATAGGACTCATTTTCTTCCGCCATGACTGTACTTCGGAGCGTGCGCGAACCGACTGGATTCGGTAGAGGGCGTTCGTAGCTAACGAATGAGCGGCTGGTCAGTTGTCTCCGAGCACTTGGAGAGTCAGGACAGGCATTTTTCCGCGACGTGTTTCTGTGAGTGGTGCAAGCCGAAAATGCAGCGTTCGAAAAGGCAAGCATTTTGAGACGACAGAGGGGATCCAAGCAGCATGCACCGCGGCTCTCAAGGCTATTCCGGAGTATGCCTTCCGTGACACCTTCAATGCTTGGAAATCGCGCTGGCAGCGCTGCATCGACGCAGAAGGAGCCTATTTTTAAAGTTTTTACAGAATTGTAACGATTGACTCAATAAATTTTTTTAAATCGACTCAGTCCTATTACTTTCCGGACAAACCCTGTACATATACAACTCTATGGATGTCATCAGATGGAAGATTGAATGCATGATAAAGTTTTGATAGTAGGCTTTGTCAACCTTTCATTGAACTTGACCGGTTTGTATGTTAGTACGTGGGACAAATCTTGGAACTGAATTTTGAACCTGTTAACCTTAACCGATTGAGTTCAAATTTTGTACACGCCTGGCAATACAAAATGAATTGATGCCATTTTGAATCCAGTATGACGGGTGATACAAAATGGCGATTCATTGATTTCCATAGTAACCTCTACGATATGGATATCAAATGAAAGGGCTTGAGAAGAGAAACACAATAAGCAAAGTGACGTCATTCTAAATCCAATATGGGGGCAATCGCACAATGGCGACTTCCATATTTCACAATCACCCCTACGACATGGATATCAAACGAACGGGCTTGATGAGATAAACACGATCATTTTAAATTCCATATGCCCATCGCCGCAAAATATCGATTTATCATTACATGACTATATCTATCGAAATTTTATAATCCAAATAAAGTAGGAATTTTTTTGTAACCCTATTAATAAACTACATGAAAATTATATAGAAATTACATAACTAGTTATTTTACACTATAAATACTAATAAGTAAAAAATAAACGCATTCTTTAAAAAAACTTTTTTTTTTAGCTGCTCATAAAATGAACCAAAGATTCAACAATATTTAATCCGATTGGGCAAATTTAAACGATAATGAAGCTCCTTTATCTCATGTTTTCAGATGAACGCATGTTTTGACAGCAGGATGGAAAACACCCTTTTATTTGAAAACTTGAGATGAATGAGTTCGTTTATCGTTTAAATATTTCCAATCGAAGGCAAATATTTTTAAATTTTTAGTTCATTATATGAACAGCTAAATATAAACTTGTTTTTAAAAATGTATTTTTTCATTTTATCCGCGTTCGAAACAATATTGCATCAGGTCGCAGTTATTTGACAAGCAATTAAAGTGCGCTTGATCTTCAAAAAGTATCATTCCAGAATATTTTTGTACCAGTACGTTGATCCACACCGTTGGACGAAAGTGCTTAACTTAGATTTTCTCATCTAGGCTAGAAAAAAGATGCAACCAGTGCAAGTAGTCCCTATCGTCGACCTCTTTAGCTATGAATCTACCATACTTTGTGAATACAAATGCACAATACTCGATCATCTAATTCTGAGCGACCTTCATCGAAATTATTGACGAACCCATAAAATTTACGACATACTGTAAACCAATCATTATTTTGTTTTTCTTCCGGTACAGTATGGTACATGTAAAGCCAGAGAGAGACGTTATCCTGAAAAGCTATGATATCGTACCTTGTAATTATCCAGAAACTTTATAACAGTATTTAGGTACCTATTACCTGTTGCCAGTGTGCAACATGTTATGCACATTGTTTTTATTACAGTACAGTGAAGCAACATTTTCCTTAATTTAACGCGATACCGCAGGCAGAATTTCTCTTTCGATACGTGGAATCAGCTATATATGTATTATCGTCTAATTAAATGGCATACCTTATTATAAAATCTGACACTCACTCATGTCCGTAGATCTGTGATTTTTATACGATATATGCGTTGATATTATGAAATAATTACGTCAAGTATATTGAATCTATACTTCATGCGCATTTTCAGTATGTCAGGGTTTCAGAATTTCAAAAAAAAGGTTGTTAGTCTATGCAAAAGACCGGAATGGAATCTAAACTTGGCTAGGTACGATATATCGTAACCATCGGTGTCTCATATTCCTGTTTTAATGGTAAATTCATGGAAAATATCCACAAATAAATCTTCATGCCCCTATTTTCAACCCCTTCACAAAATTTCTGAAAATGGGCAGAAGTTTCTGAAAGACCGAAGAACGAAGTCTCAGCTGTTTCTATTTTTTTTGTTTTGAAAACAAAATACTGTCAAAGTATGAGATGACAACTTGTCATTGAAACATTACCAGCTTATTGAATATTAAGAAATTACATATAATTCAGTCAAGAGTTTAAGAAATGTTTGATTTTTGAATTAAATTCATGTTTTAATTATTATTTTTGATTTTTTATTCATGTTTATATTATTTTCTTCAATTGATATGTGATACTGGGTGTTTTTTCCTATAAACCTCTTGCAGATAGCCATTAAGCACCTACTTCATGACAGGCTCTACCAAAAGGTATTGCTCGTTTCCAAACATTCATTCATTTACTTGCCGTTCATCAGAACCATTATGGCACCTTAGATTGATATTCCCACAAAACCATTCAGGTTTTTTGATATCCATACATCCATAAAGTTGAATATTTTTCGTTGTTCAGGAACTGAACAAACCTCCACACTATATTCACAGCTATTAAGAAATTCCCAAATATATGCCTTAAAGCTACCAGCAAACCTATAAAACCTGCAAAAAAACTACAAATTTGCCATATTTTTCTTTTTTCACGAGTACACATTCTAGGTTATATTTATATTAGACATTAATTGAATACAGCTGATTATTGCATTTCAAGGAGTAACACATGAGTGGGATCTGTCAACTCTTGGACCAGTCACAAAACATACTCTGAAGGTTTAATTCCATGCTATTCAATCACAACACGGTGACTTGTGTGGTTGTCAGCGGCCATTTTGTGAGGGTTCGACAGGGTTGCCAGATTGTGCATTAATATCCCGTTTCACCCTCCTGGTCGCAGTGGAGTAAGTTCAGCCAACTGTTGAAATATACTCTACTATGCTTTATAAGACTATTCGTGACATTTTTCCCAAAATCATTGCACAACACTTGAAAAAATGCAAATAAAAATTTAAAATTATTTCCACGACGCCGCAAAATAGCTCCGTCGGTACCTTGGGTTATACATCTTGACAGTAGGGATGTTCGATAGGATCCTATATTTAGAAGTATCAATACATTTCACGAGTATCGTCATCTTTCGATCCGGACTGTGTCAGAAAGAGCCATTTGGCTGCGACATTGCCCTGCCAAATCAGACATATCTTTCATCATTTTCAAAGAAATTGTACAAAATCTTCAAATTTGTGAAGTTAGCGAGTTTCACTTCATACGTTGTTACCAGACATGCCCAAATCATCAGTTGCTGCCGTGATATTCATCCCGACCACTGCATCCCCACGGCTAGGCGACCTGTATGTTAAATTTGTATTGATAGGGCAGCGGGTTATGCTAACATCCAAAACACGCATCATACCATTTTTCGCGATTGGCGTCCAAAGTAAAAAAATCTCAATGGTACATGACTGAATGCACTGAAGGATAATGGTAGGATGAAATTTTGACAAAGTGGTAGAGGTAAAAAAGTTGCTGCGGAGCAGATCTTAAGAACAAAAATGAAATACTATCTACATAAAATGTTAACAACGATGATGATGAAATATTTTTGTTGTAATTTACATGTGCCTTGTTCAAAATACGAGGTCTGTAAATTAAGTGAGGAAACTGACTTTTTAATTTTTTTTTATTCAAATAACAACTTTATTATTATATTATAATTAATTAAAGCCTGCTGAAGTTTAGCAAGAGTTTCCGTTGCACTGTGTCCAAGGCCGAAGCAATAGGAAAAACTGTTTGACAAAAAAAAAAACGCTACGGACAACCAAATGACTCGCGCGAGTTCAAACTTGTACTGAAGGCGGGTCACATGTTCTCCTATCTCCCCTCCAAGCCCGACGCCCCCAGTGTTGCCAGATCGAACGTTCTTTATTTTATTAATAACCTACCGATGAGATTTTAATTGTGTTCCTTCTTCCAGATGATGAAGCACGCCTGGGGTAACTACGTGCGTTACGCCTGGGGCAAAAACGAGTTGCGGCCCGTCAGCAAACGGGGCCACTCTGCGAGCATCTTCGGGGCTATGCCCATAGGGGCCACCATTCTCGACGGTCTCGACAGCCTGTACGTCATGGGGTTGGACACCGAATACAAACAGGCTAGAGATTGGGTAGCGAACGAATTGGATTTGGCAGCTATGGTAAGTGTTTGATGACCGAAATCCTCCAATTTGTAGATTGTGCATGCTTTTGGTGACAGTCGCCCATCATGTGATCGTATAGCTAGAACTTAGACTGACAATTTTGACTTCAGTGAGGTTGCTTTTGTGTTCTCACTGAAAGCAACTGCTAAGAATATGGCAGCTTCGTTTTGAGGTTGTTGAAAAAGACATTGAGTATCTACATACATGAGAAATCGAATCTTCGCGCGATTTCCAGCTGATCAATGCTGAGCCGTTGTTCGCGCACTTTTTTTTTTCATCTCGGTACTTGCTAGTGGGAATGCGAAATATAGACTATTTTTAATCTTACCTTGACTGAAAGAAAATCGTAGAAGTGATCAATGTTGTTAAAACTGTGCCATATTAAATTAATGTACCTTTCTTTCTTTATAGTAGTTTACCAATTGTGTCTATGTCTTTAGGCCGGCTTAAAAAACAGCGTAAGGTGTCACTCCACCTTTTCGTCACTTTTTTCCTATTAAGTCTATTATTTTGTTTGATGTGACGAAAAAAGGCCATTTATTATTATTACGAGGGCTGTCTTTTAAGTTTTGCACCACCCATTTCATCCAACCTTTAACTCGAGCAACTTCGTCTCTGAAGGTTCTCTGAATATTTCGTCAAGTAGATTGACTCGGTACTTATGACGCATTGATATCCAACGGACACGAACTAGCAAACCGACATAAATGAGAAACATGGACTTGTGTGATCTAGATATCTTTAAGCAACAGAAAACTTGTGAACCGAATTTCGAATATTATCGCGAGTTTAATACTTACACTGTTAGATAGTCCTAAATTTTTAAAATTGATCAAAAATAAAACAACACGGTAGGTAGTTTTAAATGACTTTATTGTTTTTCGAAGTATTCTCCAAGAAGATTAATACACATCTGCATGCGCTCGAACCAATTTTCGAAGCACTTATTCCACTCGTTTGCTGGCAGATCCAAAACGGCATTTTTGAATGCGTCAACTGCTTCTTCTGGTGACTGGAACCTTTGACCACGCAGTCTGTTTTTAATCTTCGGGAAAGTAAAGAAATCGTTAGGACTTAGATCGGGACTATATAGAGGATGGTCCAATAATTCCACGTTTTCTTCCGTTAAATACTGCCTTGTTTTTTGGGCTGTGTGCGAGCTTGCATTGTCTTGGTGGAGGATGATTCTTCGTTCGGGGTTGATTTTTCGAAGCTCGGTGATGACTTTTGTCAAACAAATGGTGTTTACCATCTGCAGTAACAGTTCTTTGCTCAATAAGAGGAATTGTTGCAATATGACCCGCTTTTGACACAAATGTCGCGACCATCTTTTTCGAAACACTTCAAGAACGGATGACTTATGTTGGCTTTTCTTCACCTTGGAACACCCAAACAGCCGACTGTCGTTTATTTTCTGGTTCGTAACAGTAAATCCACGATTCATTTTTGACACCAATTAACCCTGGCTGCTTTCTGCTCTTCAGTCAACAGGTGGAATATCCAACGAGAAACTAATTTTCTTACTCCTAATTCTTCATGTAAAATTTTTTGAATTGAGGTCTTTGAGATCTTCAAGGACGCCTCAATCTCCTGATATGTCACATGACTTTCTTCAATGATGAGTTTGCGCACAGCATCGACGTTTTCCTGGGTGACTGCCGTTTTTGGTGCACCCACCCTGGGATCGTTGCTAACACTCACCCGTCCACGTTTGAATTCTCCATACTAACGGGAAATTGTCGACAATGTGGCGCTTCGTTGCCGAAAACAGACAGTAACTCAGCAAGGCATTCTTGTTGCGATAATTGTCTCTGAAAGTTGTAATAAATTATGCCGCGAAAATGTTTTCGGTTGAGTTCCATTTTTCTAACGACTTGGTGACACTTAAAAATTCACTAAAGAGTTAGGTTAAGATTCAGTACTTACGTTCGTGTTATTAAAATAAATAATATTTTATCAACAATTACTATTGTTTTTTCTGTTTTTTTTATTAGTCTCGCCACATGATAAATAGAATGTTCTCTGACTCTTTTGGTCGGTTTATCGCGTATCTTTTAATAGGTAGAACGATACAGTTTTCTAAATTTCAGGTATTAATTAACTCCAATATTGAGGAAAGTACTATTGACGTGAAAGGTCTACGAAAAAACGATCTTATTTTGTATCGTGTAGAGGTTTCGTAAAGTCATATTCATAGTGGATTTCATTGAGAATTTACCTTCAATATAATTAAATTAGGCTTGCTTGAAGCAGATGAAAGCCAGACAGCAGGTGCACGTATTTATGGAGCATTAATATTACATATTTTATTTTGCATTCATACAAGACATAAAGATTAATGTACGTATAGTTTTTTTGGAGACCTAGTTCTTGAAAAATTACTATTCATTTAATGTTGCCTCAAGTTTGTGTGTCTTAGTATTGTGTGGTGGCTGTACATTATTTAAAACAGATAAACTTTGAAGAGAATCTAGACTTTACAATTATTTCGGGGAAATTTGCTAATATGATTAGACTATAGATCACGAATCTGATACTATAAAAATTGGACTTTCCGGCATTTTATCATTCTTTCTAAATTACCCCTGACGTACCGAGTTTCGTTCTAAAGTAATAACGGGAAATGAACATGGAAATTTTAGGGTTTAAAAGTTTGGAATGTACTAGGAATCTGATATCAGTTCTTCTTTCATGTCATTAAGAGTTCCCGAAAGTCCCATTTTCATACCACATATCCGCCTTCCGATACTTTAGCATTTTTTACTTCCCACGCCTGCTGGGCGCTATAAGTAAAGTATGACATGTACATCGCGAAAAAACGCATAATACTTAAATAATAAATTGCAGCAAGATACATAATTAAAATATTACGAACAGGGCAGAAAGCATTTATAAATCATCTGAGCTCAGCTCTGTAGCTATTACATATTTATAAAAAGAAAGCCCCGAAAAAATGTCTCAGTGATAGTACAAAAAATAAACTTTCATTAGTTTGATTGCTTGTGTCTCATTTATATTTAGTTTGCAATGAAAATCATGTTTTTATATTCGATTTTAAACTGGTTTGGATGCAGAATTTTCAAGTCATTTTGATTATAAAACCGATAATTGTTGTATGAGAAAGATCTATACTTGGAAAGTACTACTCGGATATGGATAAAATTTTTACACAAGATTGCTGCTATGCCAAGGACGGAAAAGCTTTGTAGGTTTTTAAAAATCATCCAACGGAGGCAGAAAAAATACCAACAACGAAGAAAAATAAAAATCGCTCTAACTTCGTTTTTTGACGGTTAGAGGATCCTGATCATATTTGAGAATTTTTCAGGGGTAAACAATTGTTGGATGGGACTGGTGGGGGGTTGGGGGAAAACCTATCGCAATTTTTTTGATTTTATTCACACATCATACATGAATATTTATTTAATTTATTTATTCATTCACTTCTGACTCCAACAGTCCGGACTACAAAAAAAACACAATTATTTCATAATACAAGCAAGAGTCGGTAGTTCAAACACAAAGCTGCTGTTTGCAAACATCATAGTGCAGATAAGAAAGCAAAAAAAACAGACAAAACCTCACAGAAATATATACAATTCTTCTGCAACGTAATTAATTGCCAAACAATTGATGCATATTCAAGCTTTGAACGAATATGTTAGTCATATAAAAGCTTAATTGTAATGTCTTGTAATTCACGACCACAGCGTATAGTAAAGCCCAATCTTTTCTGAGCAATAATTGTCTCCGTATGACTATTGAAGCAATACTTACTGTTAAAAATAATACCTAAATCATTGACTTCGCTTGAGCGATTGAGATATGCACCACCAATATTATAACCAAATGCTATTGCTTGAGTTTCGTTGGTATATCTGACCGCTTTGCAGCATTTATGTTTATTATAGTTATTTTTGCGGCACCAGCTGTCAGGCATGTTGATGTTATATTTCACAATCATCAATAGACCAAATCGGTCAAAGAAACTTGAGATCGCCGGCATATAGGAGAAAATGAACAACTAATCGAAAGTCTATAGCATTTATAAACATAATGAAAAATAATGGCCCCAGAGCAGACCCTTGAGGGCACCAGACGTAATCGTATAACTATTAGATCTGAAGCCGATGTGCATTACGTATCCCAGATAGATAGAATTTTATAAGCGAGATGAGATGCTTGGAGTGTACTTTTATGAAGTTACTTGATTTCATGAGGTAGTTTATACATACAGGGTGTCCGCAAAGTTGGGGTTTTCCTTTTCAGAAACAACTACCCCTGAAATAACAAAGGTAATGTGTAGTGAAACGAGGGCGACCAAGTAAAAAAAAATAAAGGAAAAAATACTCACTCTCCAGTTGATGAGAAGGGCTAAGTACGTCTCTGCCTGAAATCATACCGCTCCAACAGAAAATGAAATCAGCTCATGCGCTACCGAGCAGACGCCGGCGGTGGTGCAGACCAAACAAATAAGACGGCGTTGCCGCGTTTTCAGTTTTTAGGTAAACGTACTTTATAGGTATTGTTCGAAGTTATCGCCGTTTGATTCAAAAACACAGGTGCGTGCACGACGTAGCCAAGCATCGGTGCAGGCTTTGAGAATGGAGTCCCTCCCCCGAATGAAAGCACCAGCTTGTTCAATTCTGAGACGAAGTTCGTCAACCTTCACTTCAGTTTTGTACACTAAGCGTTTCATTTCTCCCCAAAGAAAAAAATCACATGGTGTTAAGTCTGGAGATCGCGGAGGCCACGCTACGGGTCCATTACGTCCGATCCACCTATTCGGAAATAATTCATTCAAAAACTCACGCATCTAAAACGGGGCGGTGCACCATCGTGCAGAAACCACATTGATTGTCTTACACTTAATGGCACATCTTCTAACAAGGAAGGCAAAATGTTGCGTAAAAAGTCTAGGTATTGCATCCCGTCCAATCGATTTGGGAGAATAAATGGTCCAATGAGCATACCGTTCACCATGCCAGCCCAAACAT